ATGAGCGATGCACTGCCCGATGCATTAGGGCATAGTTGATGGACTGCAAGCATAGGGTGACTATCAGTAGCGAATCATCTGGATGGCAGCCGGTGACGAGCTCACCCAGGGCTCAGTTCTGGAAGCGATTCTGTTCAACTTTTTTATCAATGATCTGGAGGAGGAGAGAACTAGTCTGCTGACTAAATCCATGGACAATACCAAAGTGGGGGCAGAGGTGGTGGCCACAACCAAGAAGCAGGTGATCCAGATCCAGAAGGATCTGGGCAGGCTGTGGAAGTGGGCAGGGGACAACAGGATTGCATTCAATGTGGATAAGCGCAAGGTCTTGCACTTGGGACACAGGAATAGGTGCCACGGGTACAGAATGAAGAGCAGCACTTGTGAAAGGGATCTTGGAGTACTTGTCAACAGCAGGCTGAACATGAGCCAGCAGTGTGACATGACAGTTAAGAAGACAAATGCCACCCTTGGATGTAAAGACAGAAGCGTGCCTTCCAGATTTAGGAAAGTGTTGATACCGCTATACACGACTCTGGTGAGCCCACAACTGGCATACTGCCTCCAGTTATGGGAGCTACATTACAGGAGAAACATGGCTAGGTTAGAAGTTCAGCACAGGGTCACAAGAATGGTAGCTGGGTTGGGAGGGGTGACATATGAGGAAAGACTGAGGGAACTGGGTCTTTTCAGCCTGGAGAAGAGTCCAAGGTGAACTTTTAGCGACTTATAGGTATGTGAGGGGATGTCATGTGGAGGAGGGCCATGACCTGTTCTTCCCTGCAGTTGAGGGCAGGACACATTCCAATGAGGCAAAGCTCAAGGAACCAGGCTTCGGGTTGGATGTCAGAAAGTACTTCCTGATGGTGAGGACCCCTAGGATATGGAATGGACTTCCAAGGGAGGTGGTTCAGGCTTCATCAGTGAGGGTGTTCAAGGAAAGATTGGACAACCACATGTTGGGGATTACATGAGCAGAGATGGCTGGAGCTGGGAGTCAGACTAGATGGCCTGGGAGACCCCTTCTGACTCATTTTGTTTCTACAGCTGTACAACTATTTGTTATCTAAACATGCATGAGACTGCATCCTTAGTTTGTCTTTTTTGCACAATGTGCAGTGACAAGACCTATTATTGGTCATTATATGCTTTTTAGTGCCAGGTCAAGATCTTTTTATTTGATCAATATTTTAACATTAACCAATTTTAACTGTATTTGATTTATTTAATGTATTTTAAATATGTTAGTTTTATGCTCAGTTCGTGGAATAGCTGATTTATTTTATTTAGGATTTAGAATAATGCTGTAAGCCATCCAGAGACAACAGTGATGAACGGCCTATAAATTCAATAAATAGACAGACAGATAGTATTCTAAGTGCTGTCGTACCATAGATTTGTATAAAGGGAGCTATGTAACTGGCAGTTTCATTTTCAATTCCTTTCCTAATTATGCTTAACATGGAATTTGCCTTTTTCAAAAAAAACAAAAAACAAAAAAACCTACATGTTGCTTTGACATTTTCATTCAGCTCTCCACCAGAACCCCAAAGTTTCTTTCTGGATCTGTTGCAGCTAGCCTAAATCCCATCAGCTCATACTTGAAGCTGGGAACTTTTACCCCAATGTGTGTAACTTTGCACTTGCTTAAACTGGACTACATTTGCCATTTCAATGCCCATTCTCCAAGCATTTGGAGGCTCTCACTATCCCTTTTTAACACTCTAAATAAGCAAACTTGGCCAATTCACTGCTCATTCCTAATTCCAGATCTCTTAAGAATAAGTTTAAAAGCATTTGTCCTGATAAAGATTCCTGTGGAACCCCACTGTGTACATCCTTCCACTGGAAAAAAAATACCATTTATTCCTACCCTTTGATTTCTGTTCTTTAACTAGCTGCTGATTTATAAGGCCACCCCTCTGCCTATTCCATGACTGCTAAGTATGCTCAGGAATCTCTGGTGACAGACTTGGTTTCCTTGAACTTTGAAAAGGCTTTTGTCAATGTGTACTGGATCAAATGCTTATAAATACTGCTAAAGAACTCTAAAAGGTTTGCAGAAGCCATGTTGACCCTTTCAACAGAGCTTGTCCTTCTACATGCTTACCACTCTTTAAATGATAAAAAGCATCATTTGCTAGATGCAAAGACTAAGGCAGTACAGGTTACAACTTTGTCAGCTTCCTACACAGGTTGTATCTTAGCTTTCATTTGTGTTAGAAGGCAGCACTGATGTATAGAGATAAATACCCTGGTCTCTTGACTGTTTTCACCCATAAAACCTATTTTATATTCCAGCCTTCTCTGGGGATGGACATGATAGAAGTTGTAGTCTAATGCATCTAGAAGGTACAAGTTTGGGGAAAGTTGCTATATCCTATTGTTTTGACGTGTAACACAACTGTTTTGAGTACACTGAAACAGTGGCAACCAATTTTTCTTCATACCCAAGAACAATGAGAAATTAAAGCTTAACATGCTTATTATATGATGCATTATTTTACATATCAGCTCTACAGTTCTGCCAAAATATGCATACCTTTAAAACATGAAAACAGAAAGGCATATGAAAGATGCGTGATTTCATGACAATATCGAATAACTACCTCACAATCAAACTTTCACAAAAGAACTCTTAGTTTCGAAGGACAGGTGAAATGTATCCTTGCATACTCATGCATTCAGCCTACCAAGTTTAGGACACCAACCAGTTATACTAATCTTTTGATGTAGCCTAGCTGTAAGTCATTGGTTGTCAATATGGGATCTACAGACACAAATCTGATTACCACTCAAATCGTCAATGTATTTTATCAAACTCTGATCTATTTTTGCATACAGGGTAGGAATCAAGGTTCCCCAAATGTATATTATAGTCTTGGCTTGAACATTAACTAATGTAGCAACAAGGAAGTCAGTGTACACTGAATCAAAGAGTACCTCATCACACTTTCACATATTTTTGTAGCTATATTCCTCCATTAAGTCTCCCAAAAGCACAAGAATTGTTCGTATTAATTCTTAACAATTATCCCAAAAAATAGAAGATGTCCACTGCAACCATACACAAGCTTAACTGGGAGTAAGTCCAACTGAACTTAATATTTAATTTCAAGTAAACATGCCTAAGATTGTACTGTTACTTCTGTTTATAAATGTATGCTGCTTAGCATTTGATTCTTTTCTCCAAGTGCACTCCACAATCTTTATCTCAATAATCCTTACAAAAAGCCAGTGGGCAGTATCCAATGCTGCCACAACATTAGCAGAGACAATCACTAGTTCAACAGGACATAGCATTAGTTGGAGCAGTTTTGAGTAGTGCTACCTATCACTTCTAGAATGAGACAGGTCAGCAGAGTTTATGCTAACCTGTCCTATCCTAGAAACAGCTAGTTTCCTCAGCTGTACCAGCAAGTGCTAATTTTCTGTTGTGCTAGTGGTGATACCTATTAATTCAATGTGTTTAGAGTTAAGTGGAGTGCTAGCTTTTGATATTGCCATGTAGATTAAAAGCTGATATTATCAGACTTGACTGAGGGCTCAGGTCAAGGTTTGGTGTGAACATATGTATCTCAGTTTTTTAAACAGAGATATGTGCAAATTCATCAGCCACATGCTCCATCTTCAAACTTGTCAGGGCACAATGACTTAGTATTTTTGGTAATTCATGGTAGTTTTCTAGGTTGTTTTTAATGTGGAACAATAATGGCCTGAATTTGAACAAGGTTGGAACTATGTCTGGAAGTGCTCATTTGCAGTGTGCTGTGGATGTAAGAGGAAATAGGCATGAGGATAGAGTACACAAGCACACATGCACATAGATATATTGACTTAATTAAGCTAAAATATCTATGAGTGAGCTAGGCCAGATAGTAGCTTAAGTTTTCCTTAGTTCAGAGGTAACATGTGAACCAGGGGACTTCCTGGCTCAGAGATATACAACTGAAATATTAGCCTAGTACACAGAAGCACCGGCCTTCAAACCAAAAGAAGGATCACTTTCCAATGCTCTGCCACAAAACAAACATAGGGGTACTTTAGGAAGAGATATTATCCCATGTTTCCTAGCTTCTACATCCACGAAGTTTTGGGGGCAAGATGCGAGGTGTCATCTCCCATGTGGTTTGAGGTGATAAGATGCTTGCAGTAGTTGAAGACCCCCTCAAGTACTGTAGCATGTATTAGCTTCTCTGAGAATCACTTGCTGCCAAGAACACAAAATTAGGACTGAAAGAGGATGCACACTTCCTTGAAAGCAACTCCAACGAGCAACAGAAACCTTCCCAGGCAGAACACACAGAACAGGCTGCCCAGCCAGAACCCCCCCCCCCCCCGAGCTCTGGCTCCAGGTCTAAGCCTGCCACTATCCGTGTTGACTCTCAAAAATGGCTGTTTCCCCGTCGTTTTAGTTGTTTGCCGTGAACGGTCACATGCTCGCCGTGCTGCCTAAGCGGGGCGAGGGGAAAAACGCAGTCACGACCGACTCCCATGCACACGCAAACCTGAAAGGCCGCTCTCCCCAGCGTGCAAGAGTGGAGCATCGTGCTGCGGAGCCCCGGCTCCCTCACAACAACCTTTAGGCTTTCCGCTTGCCGCGTCGCGAGCGGCACGTTTTCCCTCCGCTCACAACTGCCGCCTTGCGCGCCCCTCTCAAGGCCACCCAGCCCGCGCTGCGGGACCTGGAAACGGCAGGGAGGGAGAACGGCCAGGCAGGGCTTCACCGCCCTGCAGGTAGCCTCCGCGGGTGGGTGTGCTGGGGAAGCAGCGGGCCCGGCGGCACACCCAGGAGGCTGACCCGGGGAAGGCGGCGGCTCAGGCAACCGGCACAGCCATGTGTGGCACCGGCCGACGCTTACATAATGAGCCCGACACTGGCCTTCCTCGGGCCTCCGCTTTCCCCCCACTCCGGCCCGAAACCGGGCCTAGTGGGGAGGTTACACAGGCTTATCCCGCCGCCCAAACCCTCACTCGGCCGGCCCGTCTCTCTTTCTTGCCTGGTACCTGCGGCCAAGGCGGGTGTCACCGCTTCGGTCCCGTCGCTGAGTATTTGATCAGAACAGCAACATCTCTCCCCTGCTGACGCCGCGGCGGTTGAACGAAAAACGGAGGCAGCCTGGCGGGCTCGCTGGGCTAGGCCAGGCCTGCTCGAGCCGCTGCTGCTACGGCGCTCGATCGGTATCTGTCTGCGCAGCAACCTCCTCTTCCTCCCCCCACCCACGATCGCCACCGGCAGGCAGCAGAAAGGAGGGGATGTAGGGGGAGAGAAGAGCGAGATCTCGCGAGAACAAATCACAGCCGTCGCGGGAATTTTTAAATTCTTACGCCTTTCCTCATTTTAGAGTTACAGTTCGTCGAAGAAAAGTGGAAAGTACCCGAACGTAGTTTCCGTAAAACTACGAATCCCAGCATGCAACGCTTTGAGCTGGGCCGCTGAAGCGATATTCCGGGACGCTTGAAAGCTTGTGCTTCCGACTTGTTTCTTTTGTTGAGGAAATGCCAGTACAGCTAGTAGCGATGGATAATACAGTTATCTGCGGCCTGAGCCTATGCACGTTTTTGTGGAAATAGTTCCAACCATGTAGAAAAGGGCTTACTCCCATATTAATTAACATTGGGTTGCAATCCTTATAGCGCTTGTGTATTTTTACCTGTAAACTGCTTCAGGGTGCACCAACATGTTCATGAAAGTGATTGGCCACACTGGCAACTTCGCTCCAAATGGGCCAGTGGTGCACCCAGGACTTGATCTTGTAGCTGGAATCTGTGGTCTTACAGCACAGAACCTTCTGCGGAAAGACGGGTGATGGGGACATTGGCAAATGGACTGGCTTCAGCACCTGGACTGACATGGGCATGGACTGCCTAAGTGCCTACCTTATTTTTTAAAATCCTTTATAGTCAAAGATGTGTTTGCAGAGGCTCACTTAAGATATTTTCTTGTTTATGTCAAGAGTGAAAATAATTACCTTTGAGAGTTAGTTGGGGGGTCTATGATCAATAGAACATGTACAGTTTATTCAGACATACAGGAAATACATGTAGGCAACCCCCTGAAGGGACTACAAAGATGGAGGCTGTACAAGATGTTTTTATAACCTATCAGTTACATATAGTTTGGAGGAGGGAGAGGGATCACTGCACCATATGGTAGAGGCACATTAGAATAAAACAAGGGCTAAGACAATACAGAAGGACATTCAGGACAGGTAAACAATTAGCATCTCTAAGAGTTACCTCCAAGGAACAGGCCTTTCAGGATAAGGACATTAGCATTTTTAAGGTGTACAAGCAAGGCTTGTAACATGGATTCCTGAAAAGATCTGGAATCCCATCTTAAGCCTAAAGCTGCTTTTACAGTGTCAGGCTTTTAGCAGCCATATTATGGCAAAGCTTTTGCTCATTTTGTTCTGATATTTACAACAAAGTGACACTTGTTCCTACAAAAGAAGAGACAGATTTGCAAAAAAGAGAAAATAAAAGAAAGGCTGATTTATATGTATGCAAATTATTATTATACCCAGAATAGAAGTTCAGCAAATCTCACCACAGTTGGGAAGATTGAGGGCAGGTGTCCTCTGTGGCTGTTCAATCCGCTGCCCAGGTGCAGTTGTTGGACAAAAGGAAGGCTTCCTTTCTTCCATCTTGTTTCTTAATATGTATCTGAATTTGAACAGGGCAGCCCTTCAAACAGAGAATGCCTTTAAATAGAGAACTGTCCTTGCAAGGCAGGACATGACTGGTGAAATCCAAGCTGCATATTTTATTAACCATGTAGTTTGTTATTGTGTCTATTTTTTCCCTTTAAGATAATGGTAGGGGTAGGGTAGGGTGATCTCTTTCCTCTGGTGCTGCAACCCCAGTCCTCCCAAACTAGTATTTGTTAAGAAAGGGATGTTGCCATTGGTAAATTTAGTGTTTTCATATATCCATTGTCTAAATAAAAATGTTTTAATAAATAAATAAATAAATAAATTCTGTCTATTGGTTAAAATACAAAGTTGGCCCATTAAAACAATTTATTCAAAATTCCAATACCACAAATCTATGCATGTTTACTCAGAAATTCAGTGAAATTTGGACCTGGGTTGCCTCTGATGGCAAACATTTCTGGATTGTTTATCTGAGGCAGGGGTCCTCAGACTTTTTAAACAGGGGGCCAGTTCCCTGTCCCTCAGACTGTTGAGGGGCAGACTATAGTCTGAAAAAAATATGACCAAATTCCTATGCACACTGCAGATATATTATTTGTAGTGCAAAAAACCAGGAAAAAACAATACAATGTTTAAAATGAAGAACAATTTTAATCAACATAAACTTATTAGTATTTCAATGGGCAGTATGGACCTGCTTTTGGCTAATGAAATGGTTAATGTCTACTTCCATATTTGTCACTGCTAGTCGTAACAAGTGATGCAAGTGTGCATCAGTTAGTCTGGATCTGGTTGGAGATTTCAGATGTTTCATTCAGGAAAAAGTCTGTTCACAGACTTTGGTGCTGCCCAAGATGGCTGCCATTTTGAGTGCATGGTTCCTGAGATTAAGATATGTCTCAGAGGGGAGAGATGCATAGAAATTAGTAAGGCTGCTTGACCTGAATCCGTCTTTCAGAGAGTCACAATTCACTAAATTCTGGCATATTAGACAAACAGCTCTTTTCTTGTACTGCATGAAAAAGTAATTGCAAGTCCACTGTTCTTTGAATATCCTGCACTCGGAGTCAATTTTTCTTTTTCTTGACATAATAGTTTCCCAGGGATTCAAAATTGCTATTACTAAAATACCAATAAATACAGTGCTACAAAAACAATATACCAGTACTGACCCCCCAGAAACATGTCGACAGATGCAGAATTAGCACAGTACTGACCCCCCCAGAAATGTGTCCACAACAACACAATGAATATAAAATGGATATGATTAGGACCATTTCTGCAGAGAACAATCATAAGCTCATCATGAGCACTGAGCTCATTTATATATGTGGTAGTGTGATCCACAGGGGATCGCTTTTTAGAAAGCAATGGACAGGCAATGATGAAGTGATCTGTCACCTCCGCACCACCTTTTTTAACCACCATCTCCAATAGCAACCAAATGACACTAATAAATCTGCACTCACATCAGTGCACACCCATAGAAATACATGATGTGTGGCATCCTACATCAAAATTAGCATTAGAATTTATTTTTCATGAGCAAAAATGAGGAGGAAAGATGGAGGGGAGCAACTTCTGAATCTGCTAAAAATTATGATTTTTTATTAAAAAATATAAAACAGCTTTAAAAAGAGAGAAACTCACTAGGTCCTGCAACCCAAGTCCATCTCTACAAATTATGTCTCTGCATATAGTTTGTAGAGTTTCTCTCTCTTTTTAAAACCGGTGCTATTTTTTTAAATTAAAAATGTTTGCTCTGCTCGCCCAGGCTGCAGCAGAAGCCCAAGATGATGCTGCACCGCCCGCCAAAAGGGAGAGCAAGACACAAGGGGGAGCCATGAAGGCACACTCGCCTCGGCCGAAGCCTTCCTGGCTCCTCGCCGCCGTCCCACTTCTGAGCTGGAGGAAGGTCCCCTTGCAGGGGCTCACCCGGCCAGGAATGGGAAGCTGGAGAGGTGGGCACAGGACAGCTCTCCCAGCCGAGAGAGGGCCGCGAGGAGGGAGGTAAGGGCAGCCTTCTGCAGGCAGAGGCGAGGGGAGGCAAGGGACAGGACCACGGTTGGCCGAGTGGGGCACCTTCCACCTCTCCCCAGCATGGAGGCCGCTCAATGGTGGCGGCAGCGGCTTGCCCTGAGAAGGCCCCCAGGCTTGACAAGGCGGCTGCAGCTTGGCCCGCAGCCCAGGGATGTGGCTCATATTTTTGTAGTTAAACAAAAACCAAAAAACAGATTAACTTTATTACATTGAACATTATGGGGAAATTTCGGTTCACAATCAAAATCATGGAATGAATTAAGTCCGTGAAATGAGGTACCACTGTATTTAGGAAATAAAATAAATTTGACACTGTATTTAGGAAATAAAATAAATCTGAATAAAATAAATCAGAAATATTCATTAATAAAAGTATTATATAGTTAAAATATATTTAAAAAGTTATATTTTTCTTACCTTCTATCTTTTTAGTGTCTTCACCTCTCTCTTTCCACTGCCCTCCTCTCTTCTGTATTCCTGCTCCATATTCCCGCTCTGTATTAAGAGCCAACACGTGTGCAATAGGGGGAAGAGCCGATGCATGCACAATTCATGTGGCAAGACCAGCACAGCAGCAGGAGCTAGTCAGAGCTAACAGAGAGAGCCGGCACATGCACAGTTGAAGGGAGCTGTTACAATTTGGCACATGAGCTGGCTCTCTGCTTGTCTCCGAAACAGAAAGTTTCAGAGTATGCCTGTGCCGGCTGAGAGCTTTTGGATTCGTTTGGAGATCAGTTTATCTGAATGAGTCCAAAAGCTCTGAGGTGGGCTGACTGAATTACCTTGGCAGGACATATCCAGCCCATGGGCCATAGTTTGAGGACCCCTGATCTGAGGAGTTGTGGGGGAAAGCAGAGCACACAAGACATATTCAGTCACACACATACAATGATGCAGGGTCAGCTACTTCGATGATGAGTCAGTCTCATTACATGAGGAAAATATTTTTCATCATTGTTCGATCAAGCTGGAATTCCTGCATCCTCTATACTTCTACTATGAATATATGAAGGGTAGGGTGAAGCATATGTGTGACCTTGCCTGCCCCCGAAACGTCGCACTCCCCTTTCTTGATACAACATGAGCTTCCTGACAACGGTCATAACCTTTAGGCTTTTCAGTGAAACAAAGAACACTTATTAGACAGTGCACAAGGGAACAGAAAAGCTGTCTTTGCATTCTTTTTATAAAGTAAGTTTGACAGCTATGAATACATTATCCTGGCAGCCTTTTGTTCCAGCATTTTCAGCCTCACTGTTTCAGCACAGCTAATAAGCTATATATTATATAACCTAATAGAATGTAAATATATACCACTATTGGTGTTGTTTAACTGATGTTAATGTAAAATGATGTCTGTGCCCTCTTTAATTTTAACTGCTTTCCCCCCTTATATAGGCAGAAATAATTCCTCTACTTAATTGATTTTTTCAAGGAACATTTTCTAGTGCTATATGACCAACTACAGAGTCCTAAGGCAAAAGCAAATTAGGCACAAATATTGTTCTGTTCTTGACATTTATTATTGAACATTATATTAAGATTCCTCCACAGACCTCACAATATTGTACAAGCTTCTAGCCTGGACCAGGTCATAGCTGAGTACACTTAAATTCCTCTGTGGGCCTTTAGTATGCTCAAGTGC